GGGATGGGACATCCTGTTAGAATGAATATACTTACCATCATTGCCATTGGCGCCCTCTTTTTTGGCGTCCTCACCAGCAGCTGGTGCATCTTCGGCACCTTCGGATTTTGCCTCTTCATCGGGCTTGGCCTCTTCATCGGGCTTGGCCTCTTCATCGGGCTTGGCCTCTTCGTCAGGCTTGGCCTCTTCGTCGGGTTTGGCCTCTTCGTCGGGTTTGGCCTCTTCGTCAGGCTTGGCCTCTTCGGCAGGCTTGGCCTCTTCGTCAGGCTTGGCCTCTTCATCAGGCTTGGCCTCTTCGTCGGGTTTGGCCTCTTCGTCAGGCTTTGCGCCATCTTCGGGCTTGGGGTCTTCTTCAGACTTTGCTTCACCTTCCCCTTCGGGAGCCACCTCGTCCGCAGGTTTTGAATCTTCTGCTGGAGTTTCGGGAGTTTCACCCTCTGTGGCCCCTGGAGTAGGCTCTGCGGGAGCATCATCTTTAGGAGCACCTTCTTCGGGTGCAGCCTCTGGATCTGGAGAAACATGTTAAACGCTGACCACCAATATTTTGGAGTACCCCGGCGATGGGCCTCGTCGTTTCTAGAGATAGACACTTACTTGTCGACTCAGCAGCTGGAGCATCATCTGGCGAAGCACTTGGCTCCGCTACAGGGGCTTCTTCAGAGTCTGGAGCCTTCTCCGGATCGGCAGCGGGCTCATTGTTGTCCTGATTTTGGCCCTCGGTCAGATCGGTTTGAGAATAGGTAATGGGGTAAAATGAATAAGAAGATGTTTCAAAATTGAATGTCTGGTATTGACGGGTGACGGGTTGGTAGGTGTAGTTGGGAAGCTCTGCATACTTGTACGCCATCCTCAACAGCAGCTGCCGCCGAGTCGGGGGCAGAGTCGTCGACGAGGTCTTTTTTCTCGGTATCAGGGGGTGCAGAACCGACGGGTGGACGGTTGGCGGCGTTCTTCTTATTCTTCTTATTCCCTTTCTTACCAGCCATAATATTTCAATGACGTATCATATATTGCCAGGAGCTGACTGGCGCGTGATGGGAATGCCGGAACAATAGGGAAAGTGACAAGCCGGTTGTCGGGCTCTCGCTGCACGGGAAGACGGGGCGGCTCGAAAAAAAGGAACAAAAGATACAAAAGATACAAAAGATGGAGAAATGAGGAGAGAGTGAGACTGGGCAGGGTACTCCTGTATTAGAGGACCAAAAGGGAAAAGAAGGATATGCTTGTTTCTCTGGTGACACACAGACGCCGCATTGGACAGTCATGGTGAGGCAACGTATAATAGTTCGTCCCCTACCCGGTCGGATGGGACAACAACAAACTGCAGTACGGTCTTGGGCCCTGAACGTCATCAATGAACTGCCCGATGATGCCCATTGTCATTGGGCCACGTTTGAACCTCGGGTCTCCATCCTCGCCGACATGAAGGTTAGTGAGGCCCGGTGCTGAGTTAGGGCCGGGTGAGAACAGTACGATCCCCACCCGCAGGAATAGCTGCAGGACCAAGCAACCATTGTGAGAGGGGATTGGAGATCGGGAGACACATCGGTCAAGATAGGAAAGGCAGTGCTGCAGCCAGATGGAGCAATTGGGTCTGTTGAAGTGGGGGGGTGCCACCGAAAGAATTGAATTTGGTTTTGTGTGTATTTAACGCAGAAGGATGTACGAGTACTGAAGGTCGACAGGAATTGGGCGAAGAGACAATGGCACATGAAGCCACGAAGCCAGTGTCTCAGTCCTTCAGAGTACGGAGTAAAGAGGAATTGGTAGGGGACGTGTACATTAGGGGTCGTAAAAGGTGATGCGCGCCGTGTTTCTGCCCAACGTCCGGCAGCAGCGGCAAATGCAAGCCTTTCACCGTGGGGACCAGCTCAACGCAAAGACGTGTGGCAATAACGATTCCCTTGTCTATTTTTTGCCTTCAAATTTCGGCCTCATACCGTTGTGCCGTTGTTATGAGTCAAATCGGAAAGGCGAAACGGGGTGGATGGAGTCAATGGGGTCGTGGGTATTCACTAATTCTCCACTCTGGACACCGACACCGACACCGACACTTCAGAACAGTGACCTGTGCCACTCTGTCGAGTGTAACACGTAAGGGAGCAGTTCAGATGGTGATGTAGATATGCAGCGATTGAGAGTGTAATAGGTACAATCACAAACCCTCTGCAGCGACAAAGGCGGGGACACGAGTGTCGGTCAGGTGACATCGAATCCGCGCTGGACGTCGTTTGCATTTTGTTTCCCTCCTGATTCGTGGCTATTCTCGAGGCCTTTCAATTCAATCTACAGATCGCCGTGCGATCTTCAAGCGCGTTGAGCCCAGCCACTCCTAACCTAACACGATGGCTGCACGCTACCAAGTCCCCAGTGTATTTGTTGGATGTATTCGCTTCCAATTTAGCAATGTACAATTTCGTCATTAGACCCCTTTTTTTTTTGCCCTCGTTAGATACCAATTATGTGTCTAATCAACCTAAAATGCCCAAAAAAACGTGTGCTACTACGAGTACGTATGCCCTTATGCAATCAAAAAAAGTACGCTGGTTGCCAAACCAACAATCAGTTTCAAAAGCAGCTACCTGCATGCCCAGACGAAGTGTCTTTCGGGCCAACTCGATGCTGTTTTTCCTTCCTGTAAACTCTTTCCGATCTCTTGTACTCTGTACTCCGTACTTCGCCTTTGGTACATTCCGTCAGTCCAATTGCCAAATCATTTACCTCTATACCCAACTTTCTGCAGCGGGCCGAGCATCCATGCTCTGTGTGACTCGTAGTCGGCGAATGGTCGCCCTCTTGACAAAGTTGTTCCACAAGTAGATCTACTCGTACTCGTAAATGGCGCATTCGATGCTATTCTCGGAATTGGGCAACGATTCGTGATCGTGAATCTTGCTCTAGGCGATCTATGTACCTACAATCTACGAGTACTCCGTACTCCGTATAGCCCATTTCAAGAGGGGCAAAATAATGCTGTCTTTTGCCAGTTGTTTGATCGCTGATGATTGACACCCCCTGTGTCGATCAGAAGATACATCTCGAAGGGACTTGATCCTAGTCCTATATTTGAGATTGGAACTAGTAAGTGGAAGTCTTCCACCACTTCTTACTCCGCACGCCGGCATCGGATCACTCAGGGAGACCTGCTGGCAAAATAACAACAAAAGGACGAGATAATGCCTCGCTAGCGCACCAACCCCTCAATCTTGATCATTTTCCCCTCAAACATGTATCGAATGTTCGCTAGAAGCGCACATTAGCGAAATTTGTGGCATGGCAACACCATGATTGGCTGCCCTGCTTTTCTCTGCAGATTTGGGATTTCGTGCATTCCAACTTTGATTTACTATAATCGGTTCTATGAGTTTTCCTTATACGGGAGACCGGGATAATCGTTCTGCAATTATCGGACCTTCGCACATCGATCTATCCATCCTATCTATTCGAGCCCCACATTTCTCAACTCCCTTGTCCATTGTCCATTGAAATTATCAGAGCTTCAAGTAACAGTCAGGGAGTGCAATCTTCAACGCAAAAAGCGCACCATGCGGAGTAGAGATTATGTAGTTTCTGACATGGCAATTAATGAGCCAGAAGCTAACGGTTTCAACTTTGAAAGTCTGGGAAAGTACTAGAATAACTCTGTAAAACGGCGAACACAACGCCTAATGCAGTGATTGATGATTCGTGGAATAGACGGGTTGTTACGTTCAGACGTGAGCATGCAATTTGCAAACCATGAACTTGAATGGCTTTATCAGGTCCGTTGTTCAATTAAGAGCCCCCATCAATTGTATGAGTACGGAGTCGAGAATCTTGAACTATCTCCCTTGTCAATTTCTGACTGAAAACTGAGCTTCATGATCGTGATTTCTCTCCATCATCGGCGCTCCGGGAGCGTATGGAGTACTCGCTTGCCAGATTTACGAAAACGAGGCAGCTGGTTGCTGCAACGCGTGAATAGCCTACTCATTTTACTTCTCATGCCGTTACTATATAGTAATAGAACTAGTCGGATGCATGGCGCCAGATAAATGGCCATTGAAACCTTTTTTTTCGAGAGTCTGGATTCTAAATAAATAATTCATAAAGTTCTAAAGTTTGACCAGCACGAATACCTAAGTACCTTCACGGGGTAACTTGCCTGGGATTCATCTTGCCGTAAACTTTAGAACTTAGAACGACTCGTTATTAGGTCGATTGTTTGTGCAAAAACTGCTTCAAACAGCTGCTTATGGCGGGCATTGGTTGGATAGTATACCCTGTTATAATATGGAACCTCGAGCATTAATGTCCTTGCAAGTTACATCGCTCCGCGCCGTGCGGTAAGTACCTGCAAGTACATGTTTGCTGTCTTCCAGGGTTAGTGCTTACCAGTGGCAATATGGAAACTAGCTGATGGCATTGCGCTTCCAAAGCTCTTACTTAAGTAGTGGCCTGATTTGAGTATCACGGTTACGGTTGGAAACTGGCAGCAAAGCCGTAGACGAGCACTAAACCGCAGACAGAGTTCCTAGGCGACCTTGAAAATACCGGCCATCCTGTCATGCAGTTCGGACATTCTCGGGTATGTTGGTGGGATCTATACACCAGCCCACCGTGCATTATATATTACCCGATACCAACGGATAGCCAACATGCTATGTCCGATACTGTATGCGGCCTCAGAGAGCAGAGAATGATATTTTAGCAATTGGAGCAGGTATCATTTTGAACTATGTGGCGAGTTCAAGCCTTTGCATATAAAACAGATCCCAGATCCCCAAGCCGCAGATGCCAGAGAAGGAAAACAAAAAAGCGAGCGGACAATGATTAAAAAGTGCAGGGGGTATTGATAGAGTCGTTCTCGTAAAGAATAGACCTTGGAATCGACATGAGAGAAAGCAAGAACTTTTGGCATTAAAGAGTCATGTCAGCGGGACCGCGCCCTGGAACATGATAACGGCACTCCAACTCCAAATATCCATGAGCCATTGGGGTAGGGAGACGGGGATATGAGCTTATGTATGCGATTGTGCATCCATAGTCTTCCTCCATTTGGAGCCATAGACCCTCATGAAGAATATTACAGAGCTGCTCGCGAAACTGACCAGACCGAGGATAGTGAAGAGCCATCCATTTCCAATTCCGCCGATGATAGGTGCAGTCACCACACAACCGATGCATGAGAAGATATTTCGCATGAAGTTGTTCAAGGCCACACCTTCAGAGGATTTCTTTGGCATGAACTCTGTCAACATGGTAGTTACCATACTGAAGATGAGCATTGATCCCATGCCAAAGAAAAAGTTGGCGATCATCTATTGGGTTGAAGTTAGCAGAGTGTGTAAGGTTTGTCAAGGGCAATTTCGTACCGGGACAAGCCAGAATACACCGTTTTCAGCGGCCCAGCCATACCAGATAAGTGCTGCTGGATACAAGAAGGCACCGAGCCAGGCGTTCTCACGCATTCGGTCTTCTGGGCGCAGGATCAATCGACCTTTCTCATCGAACCTGTTTGCTTTTCGCGCCTCGCGTTGCATGATACTGTCCATCCATTTGCCGCCAAACAAACTGGCTGTCACATATCCCATCGAGTTCGGGATGTAGAGTAGACCGACGATGATGGTTGAGAAATTATATGGCGCCTTTCCAAACGTTTCCTCGACACTGACGTTGAGAACATAAAGTGAACCGAATGCGATACTAGCATAGTAAACGCTAAGAAGAACAGGAAGGAACCGAAGATAAAGAATGATTTTGAGAGGGTCAATGAACACCATCTTCAAAGTCTTGAGCCACCTTGTGGTAGACCTTACAACTTGACGGGATGACACTCGACTCAGTGGACGGCTGACACCATTTTCATCTTCGTCGATCTCCGAAAAGATGGGCTTTTGCACAATAAGGGTTTCAGGGAGTGCGATCAGTATAAAGATGAGTGTGAGAGCACCAAAGGCTGCAAGAAACCACATGGTACTTCGCCATCCCCAACGCTGAGCCAAAACACCACCGATGATCGGTGCGAACAAGGGCCCACATAATGGGCCCAGATAAAAGATTCCCATGGCGCGTCCTCTCTCCCTGGACTCCCAGAGATCAGCAATGGTGCCAGCACCAACTGCCTGAACTGATGCAGACGCACCACCACTCAACATGCGCATCACAATCAGCATCCCGATGGAGCTCGAGACAGCACAGAGGCAATTGAAGATGACAAAGAGAGCGAACGAAGCTAAGTAAATGGTCCGGCGTCCGAGCCGCTCGCTGAATGACGACCACCACAGTGGGAAGATGGACATGGCTAGCATATACAACGCAATCGACAGATTGGCGATGGTCGTGGTAGTGTTCAGCTCCCTCGAGACTTGGGATAATGAAGCTGTGAGATTGATTAGGGGTGATTCGCCTGTCAAATGATTAAACAAGAACTTACGGAAGAAAATCGAGCTACCCATTGGAGCTGTGGACCCCGCAAGAGCGACGATGAATGTGATGAACCATTTCATTTTGCGGGGATATGTCTTGGGATTCTCAACCTCCGCTACCAATGCCAGCTGCCCGAACAATCCTCTGCGCTTCGTACGCGACACTTGAATGGCGGGCCCGATTTCTGTCGACTGGCGTTCTAAACGAGTGGCGTTCGCCTCTGGGTCATCTTGGATGCTGGAGGTGGCTTGCGAATTATTATCGTTAATGAACTCCGACTTTGTATCTGCCGCAACGGTTGACTGCTCTCCATTACCCGGTGAAGTCGGCAAATTCGATGTGGCGATATAGTCTTTCTCGGATATTCCCTCCATTTTGGACATGTCTTTCGGTATAGTGGTGGAATTTCGGAACCTCGAGCTTAAGATAGATCAGAACTGAGTATTCTCAAGCAAGGTCAAGCCTTCAGTAGCACGGGCTGTGACGATCAATCAGATGAAGTCCCCGATGAGCAAGAAGTGAAAGTTTGAGCCGATGTGCAAGAATGGCGAGTAACAGCATGTATGAGGCTCTAAAGTATACACGAAGGGACGCCAAGTGGTACTAGAGAAGAGCCTCGAATATCTCAGTTCCGACAAAAAGGCCTGGGTAGTCACTTCCTGAAAGAGCCCTGGTGATGTAAACTTCTTTCCCCGCCTGTGAAAGTCCCGAGTCGGGAAATCAAACCGGTGATTTTTGGTTGAGAATCAGAAAGCACATTGCCTTCTACGAGTAAGTCCTTTCCCGCTGAAAATCTGCAGAGCACCGACAAGCACCGACGACGTCCGAGCCCTTATTATATCGCCGTTATCATGGGATTAATATCCGAATCAAATCTTTCTCGACCCATAACGTGCATGCGACGGTCCTCGGGGCCACTCAGAGTCCAGATGGTGCCGGTCTTCCGTCGGCAAACATGAAAGTGGGCCATTCCCGAGGCCTCTGTTGGAGATTGCCTCAGAATGTGGGATTGTGGGCATTGATGAGCTGGCACATATGTGCATACTCATATTTTCGTGTGTTTCATCGAGGCAATCGAAGATGGCTTTCACAGGAATGTAGCCGCCATATAAGCCGTTGTGCACTGCCCAGGTGGAAGGGTGACCCCGCGGACCTCTGTCCACTCATTTGACAAAGTCTGGAACTGATAGCTTGGCAGCCCAACCTACCCCGGACTCACATATGGATCTAAGATCGGTTCAAAATATGATCATCTACGGAGTACAGCGCACGTATATGTAGTGCCAACATGGTTGAGCAAACACTCGAACCAGAGGGAGACATCCAAAAGCGACCCCGCGAACTGATCGCTTCAGCGCTGCAAGGAGGCGATTACTTAATAAGCGCTTCAGATCAACAGCAGGAAAAAAGACGGTCAACATGACTGTTTTCTCCATCACGACACAATAATCGCAAAGGGCACCTTCAACTAGTCATTTTCAACTTTCCCCAACGTAACAATGACCGTGCCAATGCAAACCAACATCGATCCCAAGGAGATCCAAGCCCACCTTTCCCAGTACAAGGGTGACCAATACGTCGAAGGTTGGGCCTCCCTCTGGGACAAGGGTGAAAAGCTCCCCTGGGACCGAGGCTTCCCGAACCCAGCTCTGGAGGATACGCTCGTCAACCAGCGCCCGACCATCGGTGCGCCTGTCACAGACGCAGGGCGGCGGAAGGCGCTGGTTCCCGGTTGTGGGAGGGGCGTCGATGTCCTCCTCCTTGCGAGCTTCGGATATGATGCCTATGGCCTTGAGTACAGTTCTGGTGCTATTGAGGCCTGCAAGAAGGAAGAGCAAGAAAATGCCAATTGGTATCGTGTACGGGACCAGTCGGTTGGCACAGGGAAAGTCACTTGGATCCAGGGTGACTTTTTTGATGATGCTTGGCTGCAGACCATTGGCTTGCCCTTGAAATCTTTTGATATTGTCTATGATTATACGGTATGCATTAATTGCTGTTTTGTCTTTGTTTTTTGTTGCATTGCAGATTATTCTCACAATGCGGGGTAGCTTCCACCGAGCTTGAGCTATGCATTATTTTGGTTTTATTTACAATCATGTCTATTCATGTGCTGACACCTCTGCAGTTCTTCTGTGCACTTGAGCCATCACTGCGACCCAACTGGGCGCTTCGACACACCCAGCTCCTTGCTCCTTCCCCCGCGGGCAACTTGATCTGCCTCGAGTTCCCGCGTCATAAGGATCCGCAAGCTGCAGGTCCTCCATTTGGCTCCTCATCAGAGGCTTATATGGCACACTTGAGTCACCCAGGTGAACAAATTCCTTACGACGCCAAGGGTGTCGTCAAGCATGAACCTCTGCGGGAGCCCAGTGAAAACGGCCTGGAGAGAGTGGCATTCTGGACGCCAGAGCGTACCCACGAAGTAGGCCAAGGCGAGAATGGGGTGATTCACGACCGGGTCTCAATCTGGCGTCGTCGAAACTAATGCCGGAGAAAAAAAAAGCACGGCAAATCACAAATCAAATAAACATAGCACACTCAGGCCCCTCTCAAGCTGAGACGAAAATGTGAACATGATATTGTATAAGTTCGAACGACTTATGCCTTCTTCACGAGGGCATTGTAATGTTCGCCGAGTCCGTAGGTATGACGGTAGTACGCGAGCCAGATCACGCGCTTGTGCTTTTCCTCCTCGTCAAAGGTTTCACCGGACTCGATTTTTTCCATTCGCCCGTCACTTTGCACGACATTGATCTCGACGCCGTACGCCCGTGCAATGGCCTGCAGTTCCAGTTGTCCTCCCCACTCGGCTGTCAACTTAATTTTCCGCGTGTATGAATCCAAGGGTTCTTCCATGAACGCCTCGAAGTCCTCTTTATGTTCGGTGATGAAATCCGCCGTGACGGCACGGACAGCTCGGTAGCCGTCATGTTGCGGGGAGGCGACCGTGTCGATGCGTGACTGTGTGGATGACTGGAGGACAATGCGACTTGGGTCGGGCCTCAGGCCGAGCCCAGACTCGTCGAGCTGCTTTGCAACAGCCGAGTAAAGACAATGACCATCTGGTGTGACTTCTACTTCCTTCAAGCCGAGTTTCTTGAAGACCGCATCCATGACCTCTTGTTCGTTGCCTCTGTAGTTTGTTTGGTTTGCGGCTTCTTCTGCGGCGGTGGCTGATTGGGCGGCTTGCTCGGCTGCACGACGGGCGAGGCGAGCTTTCTGACGGTTCGGTTTCTTGGTGTTTGGAGGCTCTGCGTGAGAGATGGGTTGTGACTCTGGCTCTGGTTCTTTGGGGGTCTCGGAGGGCTTGTCTTCGTCTGGTGGTTGGCCACCTTCTAAACTGAGGTTTTCGAGGTCTTCCACGGGATCTCCGTTCAGCTGCGCAATTTCAGACTGCTGCCTGTCAGACAATTCGTGCTGCATTCGATCGCATTCATCATTGACGCCCTTGCGAGTTTTCTTGGTGGCGGACTTTTTTCGCTGTGTGATGCGGGCTTGGAGATCTTTTTGTTCCTTGCGGTGCTTTGATAGAAGCTCTTCCATATTGAATGCAAAAAAATGGAATAGAGGGTTTCAATTCACAAGACACGCTGGTATATGCAATGGACGAAAACAGCTTAAACACAGCGATCACCCCGCGAAACTCTTAATGTCCCAAAGTGGCTTAGCTCATCTACTGCGGTTCAAAGATGTTCCAGACCCGTGAGCCTCGGCTTGCTATGTCGTAATCTCGGTCTTCGGGTATGGGAACAGATGCGATGAGAATACAAGTACATATCATTAATCATTCATCTATCTAATTTCATTTTTACAAACTAGCTTATAATGGATTCAGCAAGTCTTTTCAACGTTCAGGTGAGACTATTGCACAGGTGTATCTGCGATGAACTTCGTTATTAACGCAGTTCGCAGGGCAAAGTGGTGCTGGTCACCGGTGGAGCCAAAGGCATTGGCCGCATGATCTCTGAGGGCTATGTCACAAACGGTGCAACCGTCTACATCTCTTCCCGAGACGCAAAGGCATGTGAGCAAGCGGCAAAGGAGCTCAATGCCTTGGGCAAGGGCAAAGCCCACGCTATCCCAGCCAACTTCTACAGCTTGGACGATGTGAAGAAGTTGGCCGAGGAGCTGGGCAAGCGCGAAGGCAGTAAGACTTACATTCGAGATTTATGAAGTCTACGAAGATAATCAGCTAACGCGATGGTTCTCTTCAGAGCTGCACGTCCTCGTGAACAACTCCGGCTCCAACTGGGGAGCTCCCTACGACGAATACCCTTCCGAGGCCTTCACTCGGGTCCTCACCCTCAACCTGCACCGTGTCTTCGACCTCACTCAGCTTGTCACGCCGCTTTTGGAGAAGGCTGCCACCCCCAATGACCCCTCTCGCATCATCAACATTGGCAGCATCGATGGCCTCCGTGTTCCCTCCCTCGAGACATTCGCATACAGTTCCAGTAAGGCCGGCTTGCATCACCTGAGCCGGGTACTTGCCAACCACCTGGGCAAGCGAAACGTTACGTGAGTATCTCTGTTGTGCCTTGTTCGGCGGTCCAAGACTGATATGACATTGCAGTTCAAACACATTGGCCTGCGGGCCCTTTGAAAGTAAGATGATGGCTGCCACGCTCAAGTCATTCGGCGAGACCATCAAGGCTGGCGTGCCTCTGGGTCGCATTGGAACCCCACAGGATGTCGCTGGTGCTTGTTTGTTCCTGAGCAGTCGTGCTGGTGCGTTTGTGAACGGCGCGACTATCACGGTCGACGGCGGAAGCGCCGTTGCTGCAAAGCTGTGAGCATGTACTCCGTAGTGCAATGTGCAGATATCTGTAAATAGTCCTGTTTCTCCTCCGTAATTCCTACCGCATTCCCTTGTACTTTTTTATGGGGCCGTTTGGCCCAAGTATATCTTGTTTTGAGTGGGGTCAAATCCCTCCAGGCTCGGGGCAGAGATTCCCTCACATTCCAGGAGACGGCTGGACCTCACAATTTCTAAAGTTGACTCATTCTGGGGAATATATTGTGGCGCGCTCTATTTAAATTGAATGAAAGCACTCCAACGCCCTATTTATATTTGCTTTTTGCCTCCTTTTTTTTTTTTCGCCTCTGTGTTATCTCGAGCTTATCGGCGGCGACATTTAAGTGGAGCGGCGACATCATTGTGGGAAATGCGTCATTGTTCTCTCCCACTTCATATCCTGTCTGCTATACTCCATATCCTCTTCACATTTGTCTTCATTCTTATTGATTTCTTTAAAACCCCCGAGATTGTCTCACTTACCCCTTCCATCAGATCACGGGATTCGAAACAAAAATTGCTCTTTCATCAGATCACCAGACCTATCACAGCATCTGTACGAGTCCGGAGTACTTGAATCGTCCAGTCTGACTCCCGGAAAATAGTCGGTGTGGACAAGGTACCCTTGCGTGACGCACAATTGAATTTCAGATTGTGCACCCCATTCTCTCTACCATCATAGATCATGAGCTCGTCAAATGGGCCTACCAGATCTGGCTCCATTGACCCTTTTTCCAATGCCGAAGTCTATTATGGCACTGAAGACAACATTAAGACCTTCAAGTCGAGAGGGCGTGCTTTCTCTGTGGTAAGCAGCCACCGCCTGTGCGGTACCCCGCGGAAGTACAGCTAGCTCATCCTTTACGATGTATAGGGCTTGAACGACGCCAACCGAGGCGAAATCAGTGATTTCCTGGGAACTCTGCCTTCAAGGCGTGGTAGCCACGGTATGCTCGTTTTTTTCTCGAATCTTGATGCTGAATGATAGAGGCTGATGGCGATGTGCAGATGAGGCCTCAGGACAACCTCGGAAGTTCCTCATCGAGGTGGAAGAGACCCTTCAGTCACTCCTGAAGCAGGAAGATACCGATAGTAATATGCAAATCACCATTGAGGACGTTGGACCGAAGGTGCGTTCAATATCACCAATACGTTGGAATCAAGCGCTAATCGCCGCTAACTTATAGGTCCTCTCGGTCGGTACTGCGGCATCCTCTGGCTATAATCGAGTTGACGTGCGGGGCACATACATGCTTTCCAACCTTCTGCAGGAGCTCACAATTGCCAAAGACTATGGTCGCAAGCACATTATTCTCGACGAGGCTCGTTTGAGTGAAAACCCGGTTGCACGACTCTCCCGTTTAATCAAGAACTCATTCTGGAAAGCCCTCACCAGGCGCATTGATGGTCACAATATTGAGATTGCGGGCAAGGACCCTAAGGACTGGACCGATGACCCCCGGCCTCGGATCTACATCCCGCCTGGTGCTCCAGAGCAATTTGACTACTATTCTCAGATTGCAAAGGATCACCCGGAGCTTCGCCTTGATGTGCAGTTGCTGCCTGCTCAGATTACACCAGATTATGTTATGCAGCTAAATGACAAGCCTGGCCTGCTAGCGCTTGCTATGCAAAAGAAGTTCAACGAAGCCACCGGCAAGGATGATATGGTCGGTGTGCCATTCGTGGTGCCGGGTGGTCGCTTCAACGAGCTCTATGGTTGGGACAGCTACATGGAGTCCTTGGGACTCCTTGTCAGTGACCGCGTTGACCTCGCCAAAGGCATGGTAGTGAATTTCTGCTTCGAGATCAAGCATTACGGCAAAATCCTCAATGCAAACCGGTCTTACTACCTCACACGGTCTCAGCCGCCATTCTTGACTGACATGGCTCTGCGAGTGTACGAAAGGATCAAGACCGAACCAGACTCGAAGGAGTTCTTGCGCAATGCCGTTCTTGCTGGCATCAAAGAATACCACAGTGTCTGGGCCTGTGCACCTCGTCTCGACCCAGTGACAGGTTTGTCCAGGTACCGCCCCGAAGGTTGGGGTGTGCCACCTGAGACCGAACCATCTCACTTTGTGCATATTCTCACTCCCTTCGCCGAGAAGCACGGAATGACATTTGAACAATTCGTCAGAGCATACAACACTCGAGCCATTGTCGAGCCCGAGCTCGATGATTACTTCATGCACGATCGGGGTGTTCGTGAGTCTGGCCACGACACCAGTTACCGACTCGAGGGTGTTTGCGCCAATCTTGCTACGGTCGATCTTAACTCCCTATTGTACAAGTATGAAGTCGATATCGCGCGCATTATCCGCGTTCACTTCAATGACAAGCTGGCCATTCCTGTCGAATTCCGCACCCCTCTGACCAAGGACATTGAGATTGAATCCTCGGCCGCCTGGGATCGCCGCGCGCGTAAGCGCAAGCAGACCATGGATAAGCTTCTCTGGAACCCCGAGAAAGGCATGTACTTCGACTACGATACGGAGAAGAAAGAGCGCAAGGAATACGAGACTGCAACCACCTTCTGGGCAATGTGGGCTGGTCTTGCGTCACCTCAGCAAGCTGCCATCATGGTTGAAAAGGCTCTGCCCCGCTTCGAAGCCTTCGGTGGATTGGTTTCTGGCACAGAAGAGTCTCGCGGTGCTGTGGGCCTGGAACGCCCTAACCGGCAGTGGGATTACCCGTACGGCTGGGCACCGCAGCAGATGCTTGCCTGGACCGCTTTCTTGCGCTACGGATACCAGGAGGAAGCGGAACGATTGGCCTACAAGTGGGTGTACATGATTACGAAAGCGTTTGTGGACTTCAACGGTGTCGTTGTCGAGAAGTATGATGTCACCAGACCTATTGATCCCCACCGTGTCGATGCCGAGTACGGCAACCAAGGCACGGACTTCAAGGGTGCTCCGCGTGAAGGGTATGTAGTTCCTCTTGAAATATGTTTTCTGTTGCTAACACTTCTGCAGATTCGGCTGGGTGAACGCCAGTTATGTTTACGGATTGGAAATTCTCAATGCTCACATGAGACGCTCCCTGGGAACCATCACCCCATACGAGACGTACCATAAGGCAGTTGTTGCCCAAGATGCATTCTGATCATCATTTTCCGAGGTCAACACAGCGATCAAAGATGTGTGCTTCATTCTTCCATCAATCCAACTCCTCCCGCGACGATCGAACTCGCCCTTTGGCCCGTCCTTTTGCGTTCATACCCCCGCGTGATAGCATACCTCAAAATGATGCTTTAGAGTCGGCTTTGGCATACCGGGATGTGCATGACATTTCCGAACAATGATAGTCCCTGGATGTGCCCAGGTGCGAGTGAAGGTTAAAGCACCGTCAAAAAGTTGCATTTAGAAGTCAGCAGAGGGAATCTCTTTTGTCTCTTTTTTGGATATCATTTCATAGTTTGGACCATTGTCTCCGCGTTGTGAGCTTAAAATAAGAAATAAAGAAGAAATGGGCGTTGTGAATATTCCTCGTATAAGCCGGTAGATGGGACGTATCAGTAACATTTGGAATCTCGCTGCTCGATCTCCTGTTAAACGCTAATCCCCCTGAAGCAAGATCAAACACAAGTCGGCGACGAGAACCATCGCCCGAAGTACAGCGAAAATAAGCCGGCGGAGACCTCGGCAGAGCGACAGTCTTCCCGACCGAAAAATAAAATTGTATTTGGGAGATCCCGAGTTACCAAGGCGTCATTAAGCTCTCCGCAGCTCTGGGATCGCGTTGACGGGTGGGGGAGCTGAGGGTCCCTGATTCTCCCGAAGCCAGTTCTCGTGCTCCAGAGGAACTGGAAGAACCTGCATGTCCGGGGTAATCAATTAATTCTTTCTCTGAAACTGATTCTGTACGGTCTGCTTATTGGCATTGGCCTGGCGAAATTTCAAGGCTCATTTTGTATCTCGGCAGGCACGCGATCCCGTATACCGCCGGCATTTGCGGTGATCTACATGTCCGTATAACGGACGTGGAGCGTATGAGTACTTGTACACAGTCACAGATATTCCGACATCTTGTTCTAGACAGTGGAGCTAATCTATAGATTCTGATCTACTAGTCTTATCGGTTTCCAGACTCCCCCATGCGGTTAGTTCGGGAGTGGTGCTGTGCCGAGGTCCAACTTGCAAGGTGGCTTTGAGTCATTTTCTCTTCTTCTTTCTGGGTAGCTCAGCTACAATTGGATAGATGCATGTGCAGGTCATTTGAGGTAGTCAGCTCTCCCGGTCTGATTTCGTCGACGCTGGAAGTTGTACGTGATAGGGTGTCTTTTATGGTATAGAGTATTGAAAATATGGCAGATGAGAGGTGGTCTTGACTTTGTATAAGTATCCGTGATAGAATAAAACATGGCGAAACTCAAGGCTGAGTGTGAATAATTCGATGTAAGATCCTAGGAACTGTACTTCGCAGTAAGAGTTCATAGGACGAGAGTATAGAGTCGTGAGGATTGCCCGGTGGATACCCGCCGAATACCGGGGCATGACAAAACAACAAGGGCCAGTTCCATCAAGCTCTCTTCAGACATACGGCCAGGCAACCGCTGTCTCGCGGAGTTATAGCCCGATTCATCGTAATACCGGAGAGTAATCAGTCTAACTGCTCTTATATCTGATTTCCTGCGGATAAACTGCCCAGGTACCCCAGGGGAGAGGTTGAAGATTCACATGAAAATTACAATACCTGGTAATGTCATGGTACTAGCATGTGTCTTCGACGTCATGCGCATCCCGACTCTTGTTGCTTCAGCATTTCAAACATAGATATCCATTGGATTTTGAGGGCGGAGGATCTCAGAGAAATGTACTTGGGTGCTCAAGATGAGAGCCATATGAGGTTTTCCCCTTTCATCTAGCAGTCGCACAAGGAAAGGCAGTCTGCAGTGGCAAAGCGATGTCCCATTAGACCGAGGATCAACCAAGCCTGGATCCTCTCTTCCGAACCCAGTTATACCCGCCTTCCGCCTTTCGGAGCGCATTGCCC